GACACATATCAGTGTGATCGTCCAGAAGATGACCCTAAGGATTCTGTGAGTGGGGAAAGTCACAGAATTCAAAGTGAGGGAAGGCTGTTTGAATGTTCTCATTGCAAGAAAGGCTTCCCGCAGAGAAGAAATTTGGTGAGCCACCAGAAATCTCATACTGGAGAGAAACCGTACAAATGCTCTCAGTGTGGGAAGTGCTTCCGTCAGAGAAAAAATTTGAATACACATCAACGGCTTCATACTGGAGCTAAACCGTACAAATGTTATCAATGTGGAAAATGTTTCAGCCTGGGAAATTATTTGAAAAAACACCAACGCATCCATACTGGAGTCCAAGCAAAACCATATAAGTGCTCTCAGTGTGGGAAGTCCTTCTACCAGAAAAAATGGTTGCTGGTCCATCAGCGGATTCATACCGGAGAGAAACCGTACGAATGCTCTCAGTGTGGGAAGTGCTTCAGTCAGCAAGGACACCTGATGAACCACTGGAGAATTCATACTGGGGAGAAACCATACAAATGCTCTCAGTGTGGGAAATGCTTCAGTGATCAAGGAATCTTGATGAGGCACTGTAGGATTCATACTGGAGAGAAACCATATACATGCCTGGAGTGTGGGAAAAGCTTTGGGCGGAGCTACCAGTTGAAAAAGCATCGGATGATTCATACTGGAGAGAAACCGTAGAAATGCTTTCTTTCAGTGTGACAATCAAGGCTACCAGAGCTAAATCTAGACTTATTGCTGCTCAGCTTTCGCTTGATCTAGGACAATATTCTAGCACTACCAGATCATCAAAATAAGCTTTGTTGGCCTCAGCAGATCTGACTTTGCTGCACTGAAGTAGAACTATTTCAAACATTTCTATGGATTTCAGTATCTCCTCGTGTTGCCGAATCCCAAGTTTCTTTTGTCCACATTTTCTCTTACATCTGAAGGATAGGAAACCTCTCTGGCTTTGTATCTGGCCATGTTAAGGATGAAGGCATGGATCTATGCCCCTTCTAAAATCTCTTTTCTGTCCTTTAAAGGTGGTGGAATGAAAGGCCCAAATCATGGCAGTTCATCATTTCTGGCTGAAGGGCTAGAAATGAGCCAAACTGGTGTGGGAGAGGTATGTGTTTCTTTCTGTTGAGTCACCAGGGTATGCCCATTTTATTCTATTTTTGGATAACATGCATGCATGTTATCTAAAAATATTTGTACCCTATTTTTCCACTTAAGTGGGACCCAGGGCTGCTGACATTATTAAATGGCAATACAGTAGGACCCCTGTATCTGTGGGATCAGTATCTGTTTCACTTATCCACTGTTTGAAAATATTAAAAATATTGAAAGAAAGAAAATCTAGAAAAAACTATTTTCACATGTATTACCAGACCCAGCCACTAGAGGGCTATGCTATGGATACTTGCTCGTGAAGACTACGTAGCGTGGTTTCTGGCACCCTCTAGTCATAGTATTCTAGAATAGGGGCGTTGGAAGGGGCCTATAAAGCCATCCAGTCCAACTCCCTGCTCGATGCAGGAATTCAAATCAAAGCAGATCTCCCAGGTGGTTGACTAAATTTCTCTTTAACAACCCAATGCTGGAGCACTTGCCCCCTCTTGAGGTAACCAATTCCACTGTCTTACTGCTCTAACAGGAAGTTTTTCTTGATATTGAACGGAAATCTAGCTTCCTGTCACTTGAGCCCATCGTTGTGTGTCCTGTACTCTGGGATGATCGAGAACAGATCCTGCCCCTCCTCTGCAGGACAGCGTTTCAAGTCTTTGAAAAGTGCGATCCTATCACCCCTTCGTCTTCTTTTCTCAAGGTTAAAACATGCCCAGTTCTTTCAGTTTTTCCTCACAGGGCTTATAAAGACTGAAAAAGATCAAAGAGAAAAGCAAATTGAGACAGTCAGCAAAATGAACACCAGCATCACATTCAAGGCAATAAAGGCACAACCATCCCTTTTAAAAGCCTGTTCAGAGAGCCAGTAACGAAGGGAAAGCTTGTTCAAGAAGCTGAAACAGTCGGTACGAAAGATAGACGTTTAGCCAGGGGCCCAGACAGCATATTGCAGTGAAAAACATTGGTGTCCCGTTTCCCCCACCGTTTCCCTAAACATCGATTAATCCAATAACAATGGGTGACAATGTTATAGTTCTTTCTTTTTGAATTGGACGTGTTATGCTCTCTTTCTTGAGAATAAACTCTTTCTTGAGAATAAAATCTGATAGATCCAGTGGTCCTCTCTTTCCATCCCCACCCCGGTTTGCAGGACCAAAAAAGCCCGAAGGAGACCAGCCTGTCGTTGCAGGTTGTCAAGCGGAGTCTCTCCCAACCGGGCCTGGAGACCATGGTCTGGCATGTTTTTCAGGAGGATGCTTCCGGGAACATGGATTCTTTGGGTAAGGAGCCGTTTCCTCAAGTCTCATGAGCCTCTACCCACCCAGTGTGTCATTTGCAGGGCTGGAGAAGAGCCAACCAGCAGAAAGAGGAGGGACGTTTTCATATACCTTTGGAAATGACAAGCGTACAAAGGGGGTCGAATCTCTTTCCAAAGTGTAAAGCTTGGTTTGGCTAAAATGTGCCCCAGAAGACTACAAAGACTTCCAGAGGACTAGCCGTGTGTGGCCGAGATTGAGCTGGAGGGAAAACCACATCCCTCGGTTTCCCAGGTAGTTCGCTTTGGGCGAGGGCAGCTCACAAGCCTTCGGCTAACTCTCCGACCCCACGTTGGGCAATGGACACCAAAGGGACCCTCCCTCCTTTCTACTGTCAGCCCGGTGCCTGCCCTTCCACCCCAGGCAGGGCCCCATCGTCCAGCCCCTTCTTCTCCAGGGTCCCACTTGAGGTCCCACACTGGCCTTTTGCGTCCTCAGGAACCTCTGCTGTGGAGTCTCCCAGTAGCCCCTAGGGGTGCGTTTTGTAAGTCCACGGCAGACCGCCTCTGGGTGGCAGCTGAAGCATCCGCCTCCTATTCATGAGCTTTAAGAGGACAAGGAATGAGGACCCTTGAATATCCTGTATGGAAAACTCCTATACAGTGGCACCTTGCTTTACAATTGCCCCGCATTACAACGAATCTGCTTTGCGACAATCTTTTTGAAATCTCAATTGTCATCGCAAAACGATGGTCTACATGGGGGAATTTTGCTTTGCGATGAACGGTTCCCTGCTTCGGGAACCGATTCTTTGCAAAATGATGATTTTTCAACAGTTGATCGGCGGTTTCAAAATGGCCACCGGTTTCAAAATGGCCACCGCCTCCGGGTGGCAGCTGAAGCATCCTCCTCGTACTCATGAGCTTTAAGACGACAAGGAATAAGGACCATTGGATATCCTCTATAACTCCCAGAAATCCTGGCCAGCACAGCTAGGGGTGAAGGCCTCTGGGAGTTTGAGTCCAAGAACATGAGGAGACCCAAGGTTGGGAATCATTGATCTATACAGTGGGGTCTTGACTTGAGAACTTAATCCGTATTGGAAGGCGGTTCTCAAGTCAAAAAGTCTGTAAGTCAAGTCTCCATTGACCTACAGTGCATTGAAAACCAATTAATCCCGTAACAGGCCGTTTTTGTTCCATCTCAAAAAACAGATCGCTATGCGGATTCGTCGTTAAACGGTGCGCTCGTTAAGCGAGGCACCACTGTAATGTCAGGGAGATCTTTTACGTTGTCTCTTATTTTATATGAAAAAAGCATTATCAAAAGCATTGTGTTTGGCATCCTGTGATGCAAAAATCACCAAAAAATTAACCTAAATAACTGTGCTTCCCAACCTTGGATCCCCAGATGTTCTTGGACTACAACTCCCAGAAGCCTTCACCAGTAGCTATGCTGGACAGGATTTCTGCCAGCTGTAGTTCAAAAACATCTGGGCACTCAATGTTGGGAACCACTGCTCCAGAGCCTTTCTCAGGTGTCCAAAGAATGAGCAAAATTATTCTTTCTTTGCAGATGACACGATGGGAAGGCAGGTCAAGATGGAGGATCCTCACTGGGAAAGAAATGAGCCGATAGATGTCCCCAGAACTGCTGCCCCGGCAAACCAAGTGAACCTGCTGAAGAGAATTGAGATAAGTGAGGAAGAATGTGGATTGAAAGAGGGTCAGTCAGCAGAGAGAGATAAGGAACCTAATGAGTTCAGAGACCATCTTACAGCTACAGTATGCCAGCCTTCCAAAATGTCTACGAGGGAGGAAACACCCACAACCCTCAAGC